GCTTTCAATTCTTTTGGGTAATATAATCCAGAAGTAGAATTGCTGGATCATAATTCAATTTTTAATTATTTGAAGAACTGCCATACTGTTTTCCGTAGCAGCTGCACCATTTTACATTCCCACCAACAGTGCATAAGGATTGCAATTTCTCCACATTCTTACCAATACTTATTTTGTTTTGTTTTGTCTTTTGAGTAGCCATCCTAATGGGTGGCAGTAGAAAGGGATTTTTAAAAGATAGATTGAAGAGCCAAGAAAAATTAAGAACAAAAATATGATATAAGATTTGAACCAGGAGGAAAAAAATACAGAATAGCCATAACTGTCAGTCAAATGAATGGCATGGGGGAAAGGCATGAGATAATCACAGGAAAGGAGTTAAAACAGTAAGAGAGAAAATGATAGCCATGGAGGATAGGCAAAGCCATCCAGTATAAGGAATAGAAATTAAGAATGCAAAGATATAACGCAGGGCGATTTTTCTGAAAGGGAGGAAGAACTAAATCTTTGGTGAGAAGGCCATGCCACATACATGGAAAGGCTGATGAAGAGTGACCAAGATAAACCCTGGTCTAAAGCTTCAGTACTGTAAACTCCAGAGAGAAAAAGCAAATAATACAAAAAAAGGGGATGTTCAAGTCAGTATCAGAATTCTCCATACCAGTATTCTCTACCATAAAATAGGAGCAAGTTCTACAAATGTAAGAGGAATAAAAATATTTAAATAATATAAAATTATATTCATAATTTAGAATATAATAATATGACATTATTTTTATAAATATTGTTATTGTTCAGCAGTGAAGGCAGTAAGCAGTCTTGATCTGAAAGAACTCAAGTAGTAACCATGAACCTTTCTTGAAGAAAACCACCCAATGAAGAGATTCACCCAAATGACTCAAATCAAAATAACAGACTCAAAAGCCATGGTTAAAAAATAGTAACAACAACAAAAAACACTGGTGAACATTCAAACCATTATAATATAGTTTTAAGACTAGACAGCTGGGAGAAGATTATTGTTACAGAAGCATGTAAATGTTATACATCCAACAGAATAAAAATGATATAAGCAAAAAAATCTAGAGGTATGAGAAAAAAGAGAGGAAATATAAAGTGTTCATTATAAAGCATCAGTGTGAGAACGTGTCGTTTACCTCTTAAATTTTCATTAATTTTTTTCTCAGCATTAAATATTTTGTTTGTGTGTATGTGTTTTTTGTTTGTTTTTTTTTGTTAAGCATTTAATTGCAGGTCAGAAAGCCATTTAGTTTCACTTTGGCTGCTTTTTCTTCTGTTATATTCAAGCAAAATTAAGTTACTCTTATTAGAAAAAAAACTGTTATATTCTCCTTCTCACAGTATACACACTTAAAGAGATGTCCCGAATGATGTTCACAAACTGTCGGTAAGATGGTAGGATAGTGGATAATTTGTTTTCTTCTTTGTACATTTTTGTGTTGTTTGAATTTTTAAAATGAGCCCATATTTTTATAAAAGCTGTAAAAATGTCAGTGTTAATATAAAATAGTTTGGTCAGTAGCATCATTATTCTAATTTGCTTCTTAGTCATTTAAAAAAAAGCAGTCTTGAAAGACACCAGAGAGAGTCCTTGACAATATTTTTGCAACTCATGCCGAAGGTATTGGCAAGTGCCTAGAGACCAAAGGCACATGCTGTGGAAAACATCAGCTATTCTAACAGGATGCTTTTTGCCTTCTCATTGAATTCATAAATCAAAACAGTGAGCTGGTGAGTGTGAAGTGGGATTGACCTGAATTTCTGTGATGCTGGTGACAGAAAGTGTAGTATAATGTGCTATTGTACTGAAGTCCGAGGTTCCAGTCCTGGCCTAACCCATCACCGGCATCATCATTTTGGGTGTTTGGAGTCCATCTCAACCTCTGCTCTTTGCTACAGTGACTGTCTCTTCCTTGAACCTGCCATGTCCCCCTGCCTCAGGGTCTTTTCATGCACAGTTCCCACTGCACAGGGCACACCCCCTTTCCTTTCCCTTCGCTGGGTTCCTTCTTACTCATGCTCGGGACTTAGCTTTAACCTCCTTCCTCTGGAAGGCCTTCTGTGTAACCGGTGGCACTTCTCAGCACATCTATAGTCACTCGCTCAGTGTCAGACTTCCTCAGCAGACTGGCCTCGGGGAGATAGGGCTCCAGTTTAGGAAGTGCAGGGTCAGGTCCCCTCGTTGCCCCTACACAGCATGTACTTCCTCTCCCTCTCTGGGCTCAGCCAGGATGGTTGCTCTCCTCCTGTGACCTGTGCTGGGACAGTGAACTCTGCTCACCTCTCTTCCTGCTCCCTCATGGCCTCTAGGTTTTCTTTTTCTCAGGGGGCCTCTTAGCACCTGCTTCTGTTAGAAGCTGTCACTTTTTTTGGTGGTGTTAAAGTTTGTTAGGAAAGAGTGGCTGGTGTGTTTAGCCCCCTCCCCT